TAAAACGTATGCTTTTTTAAATCAGCATCCGTGGAACAAAGAACTTTTCTTTTTCTCTTGAAAATTGCTGCTTACCAAACCAGTAAACAAATTGCTCGATTGCCAACACGACAGTACAAAGTGTAACATTTTTTTCTTTTCATTAAACAAAACATTTTTAGAGCAAACCACAACACTTAACGCCAATTATTTAAATCATAAGCTAAAATGCAGTAATTGTTTATATTATAATAAGTTATTGTTTATATAATAATTATAATAATATAATAAAAGTATAATATATACAGGGTGTTACAGGGTTAAACATAAATACTGCCATGGTGGATTTACTGTGATTTGGTGCCACCAGAACGAAATTTCTATCTTGACACTTTGGTGAAATATTAACATTTTTGTGATTTTAATAATCAGATTTTTTTAATATAAAATCGCAATTTCTCAACCTTAGAATTTATTTCGCAACCTTCATTAAATTTTCCACAATTTTAAGACATTTGTTTTCATAAGACTAATGTTTTCATTAAAAATATGAAATGTGCGATGTTCTTGTGTTGCTGCTCTCCTTGGGTTCTATATCACGTTTTTCGACCTTGCAAAGGATATTTCAAAAGTTCTAAAAAATGTAAAAGTATGTCTTTGGAACACATAGAATAAGGCGAGTTTGTTGAAATCCGGAAGATTTGGATGGAAAAGTCGTTGCACGATCCGCAAATGAGTATTTTTAAAAAACGGGTTTTGTTACTTGTTATTTTTTGAACGGCCACTGTTTAATCGGAAGCGCGAATTTTTCAACGGAAATGTTGTTATGTTATGGAAAATTTAATGTAGTTTGCGAAATAAAAACTAAAGTTGAGAAATTACGATTTTATTTAAAAATTTAGGCTAAAATAAAAAAAATATTAATACAGGTATTCACGATCTTTGTTGTTAACTCGTGTTACCTCGAATAGAGAAATGTCCAGTAAGATCGTGAACGCCCACTTCTTTAACGTTAATTTTTCCGCAATTACGCAATTATGCATGTCGATTGATAGAACCAAAAATAAAGCTATAACAGTCCTTGATGGCTTGGTGTTGTTTATTTGGTGTTAAATTGTAAGGTTTCCAAAATTTAATAAAAAAGGAAAAGTAATCAACTTTTTCATTCAAAATGCTATCTATGCACTCAAAAACAAATGACACGCTTCAATTCGTGCAGACTAACTTGTATCCTAACGTCAAACAGACTACAACTTTATAGGATAAGGGAGTATCCATAATGAATAAGAGTATAAAGACAGGTCAGAAATTAACAAAAGAAATGTATTTGTCTGATTTAATTAAAGTGTATTTAAGAATAAAAATACGTGTAAACAAAAAACAGCTGATAAATTCATGGCTGCCATGTTGGTTACTTACGCCCTAACGGATAGCAATGTGACTACATTTTCGACCTAACATCTAACATTGGCCCTGGCCGGTTAGATCGAGCAATGTTAACCATCCGATTCTTAAAATCGTCATCATTTTTTCTCGATCTAACAGACTTAAAACTAAGATCGTGAATACCCCTAATATCTCAAGAAAGAGACAAGGTAAAAATTTTATTCTGGTGGCACTGAATTACATTTTATTTGCTGAAACCACCATGGCAGTATCGACAACATTTAACTCTGTATAGACAGTCGCATAAATGGAAATGTATTTATCCCCCATATATACTCCATATAGATACAACACATAAATAAATTCCAATTCGCATTTATGTTACACAGTCACAGAAAACAAAGTTAAAAAATAGGAAAATACAAAATAATGTGATATTAAAAGAATTCATTTTATACAAACATTCTTGTATTTTATTACAAAAGATACTTTTAGGTAATCCATACCACGCCAGACTACAAGATATATAACATATTTTGACTATACACCAGCTGCTATTCGATATAAAAGGACGAAAATGCATGGTCATATTTCAAATGTTGCCTTCTTTGAATGCAGGATCTTCTACTAAAAAAATGTTGCGAATAAATACACTCAAGGACAAAAAATAGACACTCGTGTTTATTTCACACTAATTCTATTTATATCGTTATATTAATTACATGGTAAACCAAGTTAAACGAGATCAGAAAATCGTGAGTTTTAATTAATATTATTTAATTATGATAGTTTGAAAGAAAATTCACCAAAACACCTGAAAATCATTTAGTGATAGATTAAAATTTAACTGACAATTTATTGCCTTGTTTTTTTCTTAATAACGCCTAAGTTGCGTCTCCTAAGCATCGAATAAGTAAGCGATCGGATTGAGTCTTGTCAAACAGAATCCAATTCTTCAAGAAGAGTGGGTTTTTTTAAATTCGTACTAAATTGCAACGAGTTCGTTTCACAAAATTGGCCAGAGCCCGATAAATTTTAAATCTTCTGTAGATATTAAGAATTTATAATTGTAAGGTTTTGCTATTTCGCACTGGACTATCGCACCGAACATAGTCGTTCTTTCCTCAACATACTTCCCTTCTGCGATGCTACAATGTATGTTCCGCATTTTCTATTTGGTTGCATACGGTACACAGATCAGTCGTTCTTTCCCATCATGTGTAAGTATGCATTACAGGTGGTTTGACCGTAGTCTGCCTATCGTAACAATGACTTGCCTTTCATACTTTTTTTGGTGAACCAAGGAACGCATCCGACTTTCGGAAAGATGGATTTATACCATTGTCTAGTGCTTGCTGATCTATATCTATTCTGCCACTGTGCAATCGGTCTTCTTTTAATAACATTGATGTCATCATAATGGGATATTTTCAACTCTTTTTCTATTTCTGATTTTTTGGTCGCTGACTTGACCAGTCGTCGGTTTTCTCATTTCCATTCAATGAACAGTGGCCTCTTCACCCATAAGAATAGCATTTCCTTTATATCGGAGATCATTTATTTTATTTATAATTTTAACTGTCGATTTTGTACCATATAATTTTGTATGATTTGGGGTTGTGACGCTGCATAAGGCCCTCCTACAATCCGAACCAATTAATGCCTGAATGGCTTGAATATATTCCGCGTTTTCAAGAGCAAACAGAATTGCATACGTTTCGCAGGTAAACGAAGAAGACTCATTTGGTAACCCGTACGATGTATATTGATTACGGGAAGAGTCATAGTATGCCCCAACCAACTTTCCATCCATCTTGAAACCGTCTGTGAATATAATAGCCGCGTTGGGACACTTTTGGTGGGTAAGTTCGCTGAATCTTAAGTGTACTTCATTAAATGGGAATTTGGAGAAATCTGGTAGAATAATTAAACGGAATTGTAGAGAAAAATTCGAGATTGGATAAAGGTTTGTTATTCACTTCAATTGACTGAAGTAACCTAGAGCATTCCCACCCCACGGTACTAATTAATGGCTGTTTTTTTATCCAACAAGGAGATGTTAGAACTTCAATCATCAAATTGTAAATGTTTTGGTAAAATTGGTGGTGTAAGGAGTAGGGTGTGAGGACATGTTTTTCTGTTAGCCATTGTCTTCTGATTCATTAGCTGGGGGTTCATTAGCTTCCCTGTGCAGAACATCGACTGGGTAGAGAAGAGCGGTGTGTTGCCGTTCAAAGATTGTTGGAGGTGAAGACGTTGAACGATCATGTCCCATAAATGTTCTATAAGATTCGTGTCAAGAGAACTGACACTTCACAACAAACGACTGATATACGTTAATATTTGGACCTACGGCATTAAACTGTGGGTTTCGTCCAAACATTCCACATGGTATACAGATTTTCCAGTACAAAATCCTCCGAAAAATTATAAACCCTGTATCCATAATGACGTATGCATCATTACGCGTTTTGGCATTTCCCTATGCCCCCTAATTATCTTCCATGCTGGATTTAAATTGTTGTTATGCAAATGTATGTATGTCTCGCGTAATTGCACGTGTGTTATGGATTATAAAGAATCTTTTAGTTTAAGCTTATCTAAGCCCATGTCCAACCCGTTAAATCGATAAAGAAGCGTATGTTTTTGATGTTGCGCTGACAACATAAGCCGAACGTAATCCCAGGTCCGTAAAATATTGTTTGCAGGTTAATTTTTCATGTCATGAAGACTGAAAGCCCTTTTAAAAAAGGGGAAAAATTACATTTTCCTTTATTGCAGCTGGAGACGGGTTCCGATGTACCAGTCCGCTGCGTAACACAATCGTTCCGCTTATCGCATCTATAGACAATAAGGCAATCTTTATTGACTGATCCGCCCTGTGAAAGGCAGCCTCCCCTCGGAAACAGGTGTAGCCGGCATTTGTAGTAACGATTCGGCACAGTCATAACCCTCCACGGAGGGAAGATAACGCCAGTCAAGTCCAGGCCCACCTGGGCCCTTTAAAACCCTTTGCAATTAGGGACAGTCAATTCGGCCGAATCTCTTCCGTTCTCCCCTGTGACTACATAAATCTCCGAAGCACCCGCGAGTTTTTCTAAGCACGTACGCCAATTAATTTTATTGCCCTTTGACTATCTCAATTAAAAAGCACAATCAGTTCGTTAACGCTTCTTTTTAATCCCCTTTCAACCCTTTTGGGGCTTCGATCACAAAAAACTCATTGCTTCTGGCAAAAAGGCTTGTATCTTTATTTAGGAACAGCCGTTAGTACTTTTCCCCTTTTCAATACCTTCCTTAAAATATTTGCGGCCAATTATCGCATGAATCGCAGCTGCGCATCAATTAAAATACATATTAATGAAATCAAATATTTCCTTTTATTTCTTTTGTACTTTAAGATCCAATTAACCTTTCAATCGTGTATTTTGCCAATTTTTTTATTACATTTTATATCACTACATTGAAAGATAGGTCAGCCATGTCAATTACATTACATCCCGTTCATCAGCAAAATGAAACGATAGCGAAAAAATTTATGTTTGTTAATACAAAAAAATTCGACTGATTGTAGAAATGAATTTGATTATAAAAACAATAAATAATAACCTTCACCTGCTATTTTATAATTCACAGCTGCCTTACATTTATCCGATTCACAAAAGGCAATTCAATCTCTCTATCATGTACGTGCTGGTGTACCTCAGGGCAGCGTACTGGACCCAATAGTGTATCAAGTATACACAGCTGACGACCACCTTTATCTTTCCAGACGATCCAGCAAGTCTTTGAAGTAATAACTATCCCATACTTTGTCTCGATGCAGCATCGTCCCCACACTGCTCGAATCTTTGTGCAAGATAAAGGGTAAACATTAGGTCAATCATTTTTTTACATATCCTTACCCTTTCCTCTTTCTTATCTAGAAGCCACTTTTAATTTTCCTTTTTTATTAACTTCTGGCATCTTACAATTTAACAGAAAACAACCATATCAAACAATAACAAGCCTTCAAGGACTGTTATAGCTTTATTTTTGGTTCTAACAATTGCCAGGCGCATCATTGCGGAGAAGTTAAAGTTTAACATGCTAAGAAAAGAAGGGGGCGTTTACGAGCTTACTGGACATTTCTATATTCGAGTTAACACGAGATAACATCTTACAAACATATCAAACCCCTCATATCCTATTATCTTGTTCACTTTCTTCTCAAGAAATCTCTTCTAGACGGTACTCTTTAAGTTCTCTCTTATACGAGATTATTATTTCAAAATTTAAGTAAAATTTATAAATGTAAACTGTGTAGTATTTTAAACCTTCGATCATATGTAAATCTATCACTTGCTGATCATATTCAATTGTCCTGTCCATTTACTCCTCAAGAAATATCTTCTAGATGGCTATCTTTATGTTCTCTCTATTATGAGGTTAATATCGTTTGAATATTTAAGAAAAAATTTATAGATCTAAACTATTTAGTATTTTAAACTTTTGGTCATATCACTTTTATTATTATCTATCACTTTTTTATCATATCCAATTATCCTCTACACTTTCTTATCAAAAAATCTCTTCTAGATGGCTATCTTTATGTTCTCTCTTTTATGAGGTTAATATCGTTTGAACATTTAAGCAAAATTTATAAAACTAAACTGTGTAGTATTTTAAACCTTCGATCATATGTAAATCTATCACTTGCTGATAGTATTCAATTGTCCTGTCCATTTACTTCTCAAGAAACATCTTCTAGATGGTTATCTTTATGTTCTCTCTTTTACGAGGTTAAATCGTTTGAACATTTAAGCAAAATTTATAGATCTAAATTGTTTAGTATTTTAAACCTTTGATCATATGTAAATCTATCACTTTTTTGTCATATCCAATTATCCTGTACACTTTCTTATCAAAAAATCTCTTCTAGATGGTTCTCTCTATATCCTCTCTTCGATGAGGTTAATGTTATTTCAAAATTTACATATGTAAACTGTTTAGTACCTTAAACTTTGGTCTTATGTAAGTCTATCACTTTCTGATCATATCCAATTATACTGTGTTCTTTCTTTTCTAGAAATCTCTTCTAGATGGTTTCTAATATTATTTTTTTGACTAAGGTAATCTGAATAAAATTGTAATCAAAAGTTATATTACTAATCTATTAATAATTTAAATGATATACACTTTACGCTTATTTTTAAGCAGAATATAATCTTGTTCCAAATAAGGAAATTTAATGTTATGTTAATTACCGATAATTTTTTGGTCTGACTTTTTCGCAGGTATGGTTTGTCATGCTGTTCGGGATTGAGACGCGTTTTTCCGTGCAAGTAAGTGTATGTAAAGGGACCAAAAACCATTCGTAACAATCTAACCACAAGTTCCTCCCTCCGCAGACCTCACCTGATTGCCTAATGCCGAAAATTGCAAAGTGAACACAACCCCACCCATAGGACCAGGAACCATTTCGTAAAATTTCAAACTGCGAGGAAATACAGAAATTGCCAATGGATCTAGTTTGATACAACTATGTGGACCAGCCTAGGACAGAGGCTAGATGCAGGCATGAAACCATCGCATAAACTTATAAGTTATTAGCTATCTCAATTACGTAAGTACTTGGTAATAAGTACATAGCATAATATGTAAAAACTCATTTTATTTTTAATAAAACTATATAGTTACTTTTATAGAGGTTTAAAAATTTCCCATCTGGAACGACTCATGATTTGAGATTACTGCAACCTCATTCCGTGAAATCGTACGGTGTTGACCATCACTATTCTTTCCGATTTAAGCTTATCGCCCAACATCAAATCACAGGCAAAAATGGGTCGTAAAACTCGTCAAATTCAATCTTTTTATCACTAAAGTAAGAATACTTAGAAAATAACTTAATCGTCAGAAATCATAGTGCGCAAGGTTGACAATAAAAATTTCGTTTTATTTTAGACACAATTTGTTTAGTGATATAATTGACCAAATACTTCCTTCAATTAATTATTCTTTTTATGTAAGGTTTTGGCTGAAATGAAATGAATGAATTTAAAAAATGAATTTGGTTGAGGATCGAATCCCAATCGTGACACTAACTTTTTCATTTCAACCAAAACCTTACATAAAAATAATAAATTATTTTTGCCATTCGATTTTTAAAAGGCTTATTCTCGACGAATTAGATTAATTTATTGTCATTGGCTTTATTGTAACGAAGCTTAAGGAGTCATTCCGATTTAAAGAGACTACCGTAGGGGGAGGTGCATTCCATTAGATTAATCTATTTGCTGAAGAGATCCTAGCAGACGCTAATCATTACACCATGTTTACACTGCTAATGCGAATAAATCAAGTCATCAACATTATTTGCTCTTCAGTCATCCCCCGATGGAAGGGGGTGAACACCCTTGCCGGTTGAGCAAGAGGGGTGCTTTTTATCTTTCAGCACCACCCTCCTTCCAATTATCGGTCGGTACTGCGTCGTCCTGGGTCTTTTTTCAGCAAAAGACTTCATTACAGTTCTCGCTTCAAAAGAAATCCGGAACGCTTTCCCTTAGTTGACGTTTAGAGCGAGGATTCCAATTAATCCGCTCTTGCGATACATTGCAGATACTCACACCTCGGCTCAATGCAGTGACGAGAGGTGCAGCTCTTTTTTGTGTGTGTCTTATTGTGTCTTAGTGTTCTTAATGAGCTGCTGAAGTTTCATTTTAATATAATTTTTCGGTTATACTTGCGAATTCACTAAACACCCTTTTACCGGTTTTCCCTTTTCATCTTTATGAGAATCTCATCAAATATTTCAGCAAAATAATTGAAGTTGAAAAGAGTGTTAAAATTGTACATCTAAAAGCATGGAGAATTTAAAAAATGTAGTTTTATTAATGATTCAAACTGCCATCAAAGATGTTTAACCGAAAATGTTAAATTTATTTGGAACAATTGTATACTTCTACGGAGATGGTTTGATATTTCATATAACTTTTTCCTCTATTGAACTCAAATTTAATGAGATCTACAAAAATATCCAAAATAAACAGCTCAAAAATGAATACGGATATGCCGATTTTGTAGTATTTTTATTATATATAAGCATATTTCCAACTTTTTAGTATTTATTTTCCCTAGGATTTTTATTTTTAATTGCATAATAATTTATTAGAAATTATTGTTTTTACTGAAAAAAATCAATTAAGGGATTTTGAAAAATAAAAAATAAAACGTTTTAATTCCATAATTTTGTTTATTCGACACAATCATTTCTTTTAAATAATTAATGCCATGTATAAATGTCCTTTTGTTAGGTAAAACCTCTGTGCACATGTTAGGCGTACTTTAATAAGATTTTCAATAATTTTACTCCATAGAGGTTACAACGTTGCACTCAGTTGTTGCAGGTCAACTGGCTGCGAGTGATGAGCGAAAAGTCTTCCCTGCAATGCATCCCACATGTACTCAATGGGATTGAGGTGTGGAGAAAAGTGGGAGCAGATGAGAAATTCCCAGGTAACTCTACCTCTATTAGGTCTGACATTGTCATCAAGAAATCAAAAATCCTACCAATGAGATTCCTGGTTTGAGGGATGTATTCCTTAATAATTTGTTGGACATAGTGGACTGCGATGAGGTGCCTCCAACAATATTGGGCCGTTCGTCCTCCAGGGTAAATAACAGCACAGACCTCAAAACAACACTGATGAGAGCACGAATTGGGGCATTCGACGTATCCCCTGTTCTCGGTAGAATCTTCGTCACCAGTTATCACTACACAGACAGAAATACGTCTCGACAGTAAACATAACAGCCTTCCAATTGGTGTTCTTTTCTAGGCGCTCGATGCACTATTTCAACTGACTTGCTAGTGGCGAACTGTTCCTGCAGGTCGACTCAAAGGGGCAAACGATGAGAGGTCAACTTCGTAACCGATTGTGATGATAAAGGCCTTGACAAATTATCTTGTATTTCACTTAAGATCTGGAGGGCACAATGGACAGAGTTCCGTCGGCACGATAAAGAAAATAATTTTTCTAAATCCTACATCACACCAATCCTCATTTCACGATCTTCAAATAATCGTTTGTGTTATTTGTTTTTTGGTTTTGTGTAAAGACTGAACTATGTGTATTTCTTATTTTTATTGCAAATTTAGAATAGACAAAATAGAGCGAGCTCGATTCCTTTTAAAAAGGACATTTTTATTTTGTTAAGCTTTTTTCCAATTTATGTATTGGCAAGGTTTTCATTTTGTTTTCTATTTTAATAAATTGTTACGTTTTTCCAAAAGGCCGTTAATGTTATTTTACCACCAATTCTTTTTTTCTTTTAAATTCATTTTAATTTAAGTTTATATTAAGTTTTTTAAACTTATTTCTTCATTGAGGGATCAACGAGAGATAATTTAGGCTGTAAAACCCACAAAGGCCGACCGGAAAAATAAAACAACGCGGACTTAATCCAACGAAGCCAACGACAAACAATGAAAATGCACGCATACATAAGCGCTCTTGATCTAATAGAGAAAACCAACAGAAATCACACAGCCACTCTGAAGATGGCGAAATGTCGAAACGCTTCTGATAAACCAACCCAGCGGGAATTGACAGACAGAAAAACGACCGGTGAATTAAATTGTAGTTTCTCCTCGAATACCACAAAAGAAAATCACACAATTTTCCGTGAAATTGATGAAACGCTTTGGAATACACATTTTGGTCAAGGCAGATGCACTATTGCTGCCGAATTCAGATCTGATGCTGTCTGTTTCTAAAAAATCCTCTAACTATAGAAAAATAAAAAGAGAAAAGGTTGATATATAAGTTCAATATGTTGTCTCCATCTAAAAGTTCATTGAGACGTTACTAAGTAGTGGTCATCGAAAGAACCACTGTGCGTCAAGTGGCAGCAAATATTAAAAGCTCTTCACCGCGCTTCAGCGACAGCACAATAGCCCGCCGGTCTTGCATGCCGGAGGGGGTTTTGCCGGCCGCAACCGGTATCAATGCCATGTTCGTAGCTCACGCTGCGTTCACACGGATCAGGGATGAAAAACAATGAACGATGGGCGGCGCAGGGCTGGATTCCCATGGTATTGAGCCGCCCTTCCTTGCATGTTCAAGTCTTTGGAAGAGGCGCGTGCTACGCACTGCAGAATTGACCTCTTTGGGAATGGCTGTCATTAACACCATGACTCCGGGGAGGCGCGTGTACCAAGTTTTCTCCTTTTGTTGTCAGAAATTCAATTGGACCCACTATTCGATTGTTTGCTCGGGAATCGAAGCAGTAAGTGGATCAGTAGTATAAAAATTGTAATGACAAAAGCCCTAAAAAGTCGGTATTCCTGTCCTTAGTCAGAGTAAAGAACATTGTGAAACTCTTGTAAATTCCATTTATCACAACTAACTACAAGAGTGTGTCATATCGAGTATCAAGTTAAAATAAGCTTTCTTCCCCGCGAAGACTGTTACGATTGCAAACTAGAGTGACTTCGATCCACTCGGACACCACCTCCCACTACAACCTCCGTGACCATTTCTCGCCGAGATTCCAATCCTGATTACACGACATTTGAAAATGGCAGAAAGAGAGAAAATTTGAAAAGTACGTTGAAGTGGGAAGTTGGTGTCCGAGTGGATCGAAGTCACGAGAGCTCAAGTGGTAGAGCAGCGGCGTATTTAGCCGAAGATCGTGGGTTCGAATCCCGCTCGTGACACTAGCTTTTTCATTTCAACTAATACATTACATAAAGATTAATTAATTGAAAGTAATTAACTAATGTTGAGAGATTTAATGACTATGTTAATTATTGACCAGAGATACATAATGGAAAATGATGATCTGGTGTAGATCAAGATTAAAAGGAAGTTACTGCAGTTTTAATCCTGACCGTACACCAGATCCACGTCTTACATTGTGAGATTTATTTTTGAGACCTCAGGGCCTTTCTTTGCTCGGCTGGTCTATCAGAGCTTCAAATTCAATGTTCGATGATTATTAAAAAAAAGCATTGCATGAAAAAAATCAATTCATTTACATGTTACAACGTGAACATTAACATATATATTACAATTATATTTGGATTTTTTCTCCCTGTCACACAACAGCCAATCCTGTACTCATGAGGGATTAAGAGACAAAGGAGGTCTTTCAGTCGACGTGGTAGCCTTTCGCTGAGAAAGTGTAGGCCTGGGTAGTACGATTTGGATAGATCGAAAGCTCGGTGTGAATCTTTTGGAAGGGGGATCGTATGAGTCCTTTCGCAAAAGGAATTTTGAGGTCCTTGTTGAAAGTGAGGTTATTGACGTAGTAAGGAGGTTTCACAATTCGTCTAAGGGATTTTAGTTGGAAGGTCAGATGCGCTGGAAGCTGGTTGGCTTGGAGAAACCTCACACTTCCATGTAGTCCAAAGTGATTTCAATGATGTCTTGTAGAGTTAGTTAACGCACAAAAACAGATTTCGGTCCTAAAAATCTCTAGACAACCTTTTTCAGAGCATAGATTTTATTACGATCAACAAAATACACAACTAATTAACTTTTTTATGTTAGGGTTTCGTTAAAATGAAAAATTCAGTGCTATGAGCGAGATTCGAACCCACGACCTTCGGCTAAATACGCC